GAAAAAATGACTTGGTGGTACGGTTTCTGAAAGGAGCCAGAAGGCTTAACCCCTGCAGACCTCCATCTGTTCCGTCTTGGGACCTCTCCACGGTCCTTGGGGCCCTGAAGGGTCCACCGTTCGAACCACTTCAGTCGGTTGATCTCAAAATACTCTCGTTAAAGACTACTCTCCTGCTGGCACTGGCATCTGTCAAGCGAGTTGGAGATTTGGAGGCGCTCTCGGTGAGCCCCTCTTGTTTGGAGTTTGGTGTTGGCGACTCGAAGGTCGTTCTCAAACCCAGACACGGCTATGTGCCTAAAGTGCTTTCTACTCCCTTTAGAGCACAGGTGGTCGCCTGGGGTCGCCCTTCACAAAGCAGAGGTTATCCAGATGGATAGTTGATGCTATTTCTCTGGCATACACCTCAGTGGGTCAGGTTTGCCCTATTGGTACTAGAGCCCATTCGATTAGAGGCATGGCCTCTTCTTGGGCTTGGTCTTCTGGGGTTCCCATTCACGATATCTGTGCGGCATACATTTGTGAAATTCTATAAAATGGAGGTTCCTTCCCTGCAGGCAAGGGTCCTTTCAGTGTGAATTGGTGTCCGGTCTTACCCACATAATATGTCAATGTCATAAGCACACATTGGTTCATTCATTATAAAGCCCGCCTCTGGCCGGTTATCATTCCCTTTATTTTTAAGACCCGTCAGTGTCTGGTCTTATGTTAGGGGATTAAAGAAATGAATGTTTGGACATTACATTATAGAAAGTTATATTATGAGGCCCGACAGTGTCTGGTCTTATTTTTATACACTGGTTTCTGGCTGGCTCTGTAAGCTCAGAGTTCGAGAGCTGCAGTTCAACCAGCTACTCGGTGCGGCGTTTTGCGTGCCGTCCCCACTGCATATAGCTACGCAATACGAAGTGGACATTCTTGAAAGGGAACATACTCGGCTACTAACGTAACCTCGGTTCCCTGAGAGTAAGGGAACGAGTATTGCGTAGCCAGCCGCACTGAGTAGCATGGCAATATGTCGCTTCAGTCGATTTAACCTTATATAATGGCTATTTCAGGGGCTTTTATAGGCTATGGCCAAGCCCCTTGTGGCGGGCTTTGACGTGTCTGACGTAATGATAGCTCATTGGCTCACACGCTGGAGCCGCCCGCGCCATTGGATGTGCATTTGCCGCAGCACAGCCAATGAGTGAGCCAGACACTCACTGTGCTAGCTGTGCAGCTGCAAAATGCGTTTTACATTTTAAGCTTCAGAACTCGAGGAAAAGGAGTTTCCCCACTGCATATAGCTTCGCAATACTCGTTCCCTTACTCTCAGGGAACCAAGGTTACGTTAGTAACCGAGTACGATATATATAAGTGAGGAGACTATCATCTATCGACCGTCACCCGGCAAAAACTAAATAAACTTTTTTATGATCTACAAATAGGGTGACCAGAAGTCCTGAAAAATTCGGGACAGTCCCGAAATCTAAGCTGTTGTCCCGAATCCCGAAACCGGCCTTAATTGTCCCGAAAATTATACTAAAGCAAAATCTTGATATAAAACATTAAAAACTCTCCGTGGAGGTTGAGTCATCCTGCAGCCAGCCCCCTCAAGTTGCAGCAGCCGCAGCCGCGAGGACAGTGAATGTGCAGGCAGCCAGTCGAGTGATTGATTGGTCGCGGCACTGTGTGCAAAAAATACTTCGGCCGGGCCTAATGTCTGATGTCGGGTTACACAAAGCAAATCATCTACACAATTATTTAGTTTTCCTATTTAATGACCGACAATTTAGTTGTAATAATAATTTAAGCATAAGGCTTATTAGCATTAGGCTATAGCCTGAAAGGTCTGATTTAGCCTACGCCCTGTTACAACAGTATTATTATTTTTTTCACAATGACATTTGAGTTCATGATTTTAATGGTGTTGTTTTTTTTTTTGTGGCAGACTAAAGACTAATGACAGACTGTTGATCTTTGAATAAAAACATTTTTGGTTCAGGTTTGAAATTCATTATCTTTTAAGGCTATGTAGTATAATATCATAGTTAGACTGTGATTAGGGGGGCACGTTGTGTCATCTGGGGGGGCACTGCCCCCTAATGCCCCTCTTGGCGACGGGCCTGAGCTGACCTATTCCTTCATTTATAATGCTGTGAGTAAACTATTTTTTTTTAAAGTGGAACATTATGGTAAATGGTAAATGAACTGCATTTATATAGCGCTTTCACAGACCCAATGGCCACCAAAACGCTGGAACATTAATTAATTTGTGTGCGTTTTCTTACATTTTGGCTTAAACAAAATTGTCCCGAACAATTTTGGATCATTATCAGTGATGACTATGTCTATCATCCACCGACCGTCATTCACATGGCAAAAACTTGACAGTAGAAAACTAATTAATATTTTGTGTTTTCTCACATTTTGGCATAGACAAAAGTGTCCCTTGGGCAATTTTGGATATATATCGGTGAAGAGACTATCATCCACCAACCGTCATTCACACAGAAAAAACGAAATAAAAAAGGTAATACAAGCTGACATATTCCCTCATTTATAATGCTGTGAGTAAACTACAGTTTCGTCAGTGGAAGATTAATTCATATTTTTGTGTTTTCTCACGTATTTGCATAGACAAACGTGTCCCGTACAATTTTGGGTCTATATCAGTGAGGAGACTGACTGACTATCCTCCATATCGACTGTCATACATGCGGCAAAAACTAAAGAAAAAGGTACTACAAGCTGACCTATTCTATTATTTATATTCTATTGTTTATTTAAAAACATCCAATTATTCAGAATATACGAAGGTAAATTTAATTGATGAGTTGTCAATACAATATATAACAATACAATATATAGGGTATGATTTTCCCCCTAAATTCAGCATATTGACACAAATGTTAACTGCAAATCCAGTGTTCTCTGAATTACAGCGATCCATTTGCTTCTCTGTTCTGTAGCTTTCGGCAGTCTGTAAAAATATACCTCAGAAAACCAATGCTGCCACTCAGTCTTTTTGTCACTTAGTGGGAGTAACCTCAGTCACTCCGGCCGACGGTGACGTCACAGGCATAACCTCTATTCTACCATTTATGCTGTGAGTAAACCAGTTTTTTCAGTGGAAGATTAATTGTTTTTTCACACTTTGGCAGACAGACGTGTCCTGTGCAATTTTGTATATTTGACAGTGAGGAGACTGATTGACCATCTTTCACAACATTCATGCCTGAGAACCTTTTGTAAAATAAATGATTTTCAATAAATACTGTTAATAATTGCATCCTTTTCTTTCATCATTGTTTTATACCAATGTTTTTCCCTTGTCTTCTATAACTTTATTAATTTGAGTTTAATCAACTTAAATCATTTACGGCAATCGGTTCCCTCAAACCATTTGAGTAGCTATATAGTTGTTTAGACTTGATTAGATTTATTAAATAAACTCAAAACAGTTAGTTTAAATTAATGGAATGAACTTAAAATATTCATACTCAAAATGATTGACTAAACCAACACTCAATTATGAGTGAATATGACTCAATATATATAAGTTCACAATACTCATATCTATCTGTTTTTAAGCTTAAATGGTTTGAAGCAATCAGTTTCCTTAATCAGTTTGAGTTAACTTATTGGGTTTTACAACAGCCCATATTGTGCCGTTCAATTGATCTACCATATGAGTGAGATGTAATGAAGTATTTCTCATTTTCACATTAAACCTAAATTAAAATGTATAATAAAATAACACTATTTGGAGGTGGCATTCTAAAACACTATACATTTTACCTGTGAGCTGAACACATGTAAACAAGAGAGACAAATGTGAGACAACTAACCTCAGGCCTAGAGCACTCTCTGGTGTCGACTTTGTGTACATGCTCTTTCACTACATTTAAAGCATAGACTGTAAAAAAAGTCATCATGAAATCAACATTCACAATTTAGTTTGTTTTTTGGTATCTATTATAAATTATTTATCCATCACATCATATATATATATATATATATATTTTATTCATGTGCCCAGAAATCTTTAATCAAAATAACATCTCTTCCCTTCTCTGAATACGTGTTTTCTGGTGTAAGGGCGGGACAACCTGTCAGTCACATGACATCACAGTGCAACAGTGTCCACCCACTTTTTCAGTGGCATTGGTTCCGGTAGGGTTTTTTTATTTATTTTTGTAAGTCTTTGTTAAAGCGTTATAAGCCATGAACCATGCCAACCAACAACAAGGTGAATCATAACATTAAAAACTTTTAAGAAGCAAAAAAGTACTTTCAGATTTATTTTACTTGAAGAAAATGCAAAGGATCAAGACTGTGTACTTAACTGATTTAGTGAGGAAAAGAACTGCAATCCCATGAAGCATTGCATAATCAAAAAAAAAAGAAAAGAAAAAAGAAGTTGATTATATATATTGAGAGGGCTCGGAAGGAAGACTCGTTTACATCATTTGCTGTGCTGCATGGGAGTGGGCGGAGCTAAAGAAATATCTTGCCACGTTTTGCTTCTTGTTTAGACTCTGGTTGGTGGTATTTATCTGTACAGAATCATGGGTAATGCAGTTTTTCACCATAAATTCCAATTTTAAACCTGGGGCTAAAATGTGGGCTGACGGCTTCATCAGAAGCAAATACAATCGATTAACGACCTCGGAGCTCACAGTAGGGCTAATAATCAATTCCCTTATGGAGAAAAGGAATATAATTTTGACTTCAAGAACCCGGCTGTTACACTCTATAGCAAACCACAACTATCCAATCACTTCCCAATTCCCCTACATCGAGAAGCCGTTTGACTTGGACATACGTTACAATATGGAAAAGTGTATCGCAACTTCCGTTAATGCCGACTTTATACTATACTACAACAAGTGAATTACTGAACAGTTAAAGAGTACAATAATACCATCATATTCGTTTGCTTTAAATGTTCACTTTGTAGACTAACTCAGCAATTGTTAATATTGTCAAATTGGTAATACCTCAAACCAGATCTCTTTGGTCTTTATTGTAGCCTTAATGACTTTATTTGCATAATGATATTATTAAATATATTCTGTTATAAATAATTTAATTTTATCTGACCATTATCAAAGAAAGCTGTTATTGAATATAAATAAACAGTTTTGTTGTACTGCCATAACATTAACAAGTGGAATATTACATTGATACCATCCTTTTACATTATACACTATAATCATTTTAAGGTATATACATATGTAAACAATGTTGCTCATGAATTCACTCATGAATCATTTCTACAAAATCATTTATACTGTAAAATGTGTGTTTTATATTATGTGTGTAATTGTGCACTGAGCAAAGTTGTGCAGGTTTTAGTCCAATGTTGTGTCCATATGATATGGTGAGTTTGTTCCCCATTACCACAGCTTGCCAGCTCTCCCTCAGTGAATCTCCTGTAATGTCCACACACCATTAGCACCACTGGCGGTTTTCATCCCCTTCTCCTGTACAGTGAGCTTGTGAAAGTCAATGTGTCTGAACTCTGCTGCAAAAATCCCAAACAGCGCAAAGAAGCACATGACCAGAGCCCACTCACACATGGCAGCTTCAGAGGGAAACCCTGCGCTATAGAGAGCAAACACTGAGAAGACAGAGGGTTAAGGACAACAAAATGAACACATGATAATGTGTAGTGAAAATGCACTCATTTCAGAACTCATTTCAGTTATTAATTTTATTTTCTGTAAGAGCTGAAGGATACTGCAGATGACAAGACAAGTACACAGGCTGCAGAGGATGACACGCACAGGCACCACCCACCAGCGGTCATGTGACGGCGGGCTGTAGTATGAAAGCCACGTCTGGACCCAGAAGTAAGCCAACCCCAGGAAGAAGGCCAGGAGCGCCCCAAGCAGATGAACCACCTTCACTACAGATTGCTAAATGGACACACACATGGACATAATCATGCATGTATAGCAAATAAAGACCCTGATATACATCAACGTTCTTTTTCATTCAATGTTTAGTGGTAAAAAGAAGTTCAAAACACCTTTTCACTGGTATACTGTTTGCGAACATTTAGATGAATATGTAAATGCTGTATGTGCTGGTCGTGCTCACTTTCCTCTCAATAACCAAATACACACACAACAAACCTGGCAGCGGTGAGACAGCATCTGATCATAGCGATGTGGATATGTTTGCACGAGCTCTGCAATTCGCCTCTCCAGCCAAGTCACGTCATGTTTATTTACAAGCACATAACAACATATTGCTTTAAAGCAAGCAGCTTTAACATGAAAGTGTCAGTCTCGCTTTAAATTAATTTCAATTTCTACTATAAAGTAGCTCTCCGGTGTGTTCATGTTAAAACTTGGATCTGATCTCAAAGGACTGAACAGAAGAAATAAACTCGAGAAGATATTATCCACGTTAAAGGCGGAGCCTCAGAGCCACTCCTACTGTAGTCACGCCCACGGACCGTTGGCTGGGGCTGCTCGATTATGGAAAAAAATCATAATCACGATTATTTTGGTCAGTATTGAAAATCACGATTATGTAACATGATTATTTCACATGACTTTGGGAATGTGTTGCATTTATTAAAAAGACACCTTTCAACAATTCTTAAAAAAAATCGAAATTTGAACATTTATTGTACTTTTTGAACTATTAAAATAAATAATATAACAGACATTCAAGCATAGCACTTATCCAACGTATTAATCATTTTCTTGAATCCAGAGTTGTCAACTGTGCTAGTGGTGCGGATGATATGCACACGACTTGCCTCCCTGACTGGCTGAGAGAGTTTATGGCTTCGGGAGGGGCGGATGTGGGGTTGTCATTCAGAACACAAGACAAAATAAGAGTGTTCTTGCAAAACAGAACATGGCAAAATAATCGTTTTTACTCGATTGTACTATTTTGGTGATCGTTGGGAGCCAAAATTGAAATTTAATTAATTGCACAGCCCAACCGTTGGCTAAACGTCTGATCCATTAGGCACACAAAATTGGAAACACTTCAGGAGTTTCGAAGTTGTAATCTGAATTCTACAGGATGTCTGGGAGACGTGTGTCGCGTTCTTTAACGGTCCGCCTGGAAACAAAGCCGTCGTGACGCCAAACCCCCTCATGGAAGAAGAAAGCTGTCATGTTTGACTGTGACAATCAGCGATTACCAGGATCAATTAAACGCTGGATTTTCAAAAGTATGTGAAGTTCGAGGCTCCATTGTTGCAATAAATTTGCACAACGTTCTTGAATGAATAATTTATTAGATGCATGCCGGTCTTTTATCGTAGGGACATCAACTTTACATTTTCACGCCCCTAAACATGACGCAGAACAAAACGAACTGTGATTGGTTGCGTTACATGTAGGTCAAACATCCTCTTGGGTGGGCCTTGGCCAATGAAAGCTGCGATGGAGTCCAGTCTGAAGGGCCCTGTCCCAAATGGCACCCTAAGCACTCGCGGTCTTCCTTCGAGTCTGCACTTTCATGACGTAACGCCGCTTTGACTGTTGGGAAGAAGTCTGCTGCCGTGCTCGCACCAGTGCGGTATTTGGCAAAAGTGCGCATGGAGGGCGCGTATCAACCACTGCGCGAGCACCCTTATGACACCTAAAATTACAAATGGGACACCCTACAGTCTCATGGACTTAACAGACACGTAAACTGCCATTATACTCAGCCATTATAAGTCAACAAGACCGTAAGAGCATATGAAGTGTGCCATTTGGGACAGTGACAAAGGCTCTGAAATGACACCAGTCTGTTCTTCGATTTTGCTTGGAGTATATCAGGGTTTTAATGCAAGAGCAAACACAAATAAGCCCAACACAATTCACAAGTACTCAAGTAACCTCCAGTCGTTCTTCACACACACACATAAACTGTACCTGGAAGTTTCCTAGAATGGAAATGCCAATGCTAGAGATGAAGCCAAGCACCAGACCTGCTGTATTTAAATGAGACGCACAACTCAAGTCCCGGATCTGTTGAAATCTGATAGTGACAATCCATAGAGCTAAAGAAAGAAAAAGAGGTCACGCAGAAGGTACAGTACAGAAGGCCTGTTTTCAAAAGGAGATGACGGACTCACCCAACACACAGCAAATATTGCAGATCTGAGAAAACAGGCAGCTCTGGGGGTTGTATGAGCCACATGTGCTGAAGGAAACAATATTCATATATTATTTTTTTATTTTAATCAGGGAATCTTAGCTAGTATCATCTTGTATGCTGTGCTCTGTTGGGCAGTGTAGTATGTTAGGGTGTGAATCTTTGGGAAGACAGCAAATCAATTAGAATCAGGAATGACTTTTGCAAATTCAGAAATGATTCACGACATTCAACAATACTACAATAACACCAAGAAAACTGTTTTTACACCAGATTACACCGATGTCAGAAATTGGAGATTGTATTGTAAGATCAGTAAATTGAACATAGTGATGAAAGATTTAAGTCATGATGACTTAGCACTTTGTACTTGAAGGTCTAAATGAGATTGCAATAAGCAGAAGGTATAATTTGTGCTTTGTAAATGTAATCATGTAAGAGTAGCCTACTACCAAGTATTCAGTTTCAATACTCAACAAAAGTACAAATTCCTAAAAAAAATTATACTTATCCTTAGTCAAGTACAACTACTCAAGAAACTATGATGTCTGAATTACAAACCTGATGTAAGGGAATTCTGCAGTTATATTAACAGTGTTATTGGACACTGCAATGGCATACCTGCACACAAACAAGAACAGAAAGAGTAAAAAAAAAAAAAAAGATGATTTTGTAAAGAGTGAGCGAAACTGAAAGAAATACTCACACAACCCAAAGCCCAATTGTTCCAAACACTGCCAGAATGACAGGGAGTAACGCCCACGCCCACATGATGGACCAATCAGATCACCTGTAGATAGATCAAGTGTCTCTTTACCTATTATGAGATCACATTTATTAGCATGTATAAATTTAAAATCCCTTCATCACTGGGACCAAACAAACATTCCAATAACCGAACTGTTCCCTACGAATCCTTTACAGGCTATTCGACCATCTTAAGTGAACCAGTTTAAAATCCAACAACGGCATTGGGAACAAGTGTAGGCATATACAATATCACATCACAGGAAGTGCACAGGGAAATTTAGCAATCAATCAGTCATTGTGCACAACCTTGGTACTGCACTAAACTGAACTAAATGCAGTTCAAAAGAATCAAGTGCCTGGCGTTTGTATTCAGGTTAATTCACCTCAGGTGTTATTGTTTTTAGGAAATAAAGATGTGACTGTTACAACGGCATTATCAAGACACATTTACTTTTATGTTAAACATCACATATGTTATATTAATAAATATTTCATACATTTTTAAATGAATACAAATGGATATATTCTGTAAACATTTATATATGAAACAATATATTACATCATGTATTTTGAATAACAAAAGCCTGCAAAGGGAACCTGTGAATCAGAAAGCAGCTCTAGATAAACAGAGTTAGCATATATCTGCTTCGATTTTTACAACCCCGGCAGAATAAGTTATCACAGAAGCAGCGAGTTTAAGGGAGATTCACGTTTTACTCCACACACCAGTCCTGGTTACAGTGGTGTTGAAGCTCAACAGGTATTTTATTCTGAACAACCATCTAAATAAATGAAAATGGTCTTCTTTACTGACTGTTAAAACCTCAAAACCAAATTCTCTTTCAGCACTTTTTTACAAGCTGTACATCTGCCAGTTTTTCTTTAAATGGCAAAGTCTGGCATGCAGATATTGAGACTGCGGTTTACAGCTTCAGTGGGAATTAATATTACAGTCTATTTCTCATGTATTATTTTCACAGGCCAGCAGAGTACAATGACATTCCCCTTTAAAGCTTTGCTCTCAGGGTTTCGTCTTTGCTTTTGTGGAAATTGTTCCCAACCACTATAACGTCAGATGTTTAAAATCCTGTAAAACTGTTTTCATGACAATTATTAGAATAATCTGAATTCAGTGTACAAATGCAAAGCATTAGACTGAGACAAAAAAAGAAAGGATTTCTTATACCAGTAGCATCCATTGAGATCTGTAACACACAACCACTACTGTATGTCAGATCCATTTAACTATTTTTGACAACAGAAAAGACAACACAACCACCACTTTGCCTAGAATTCACTTGAAAACCTGTTAACATCATCTTCAATTTAAGATAAAATGTGAGAAATCTTAACTACAAGTAGAGAGCAGGCATTGAAGTAAGCAAAAGAAGTTGAACATTTTATAAAAGAAGCATATGTACACTACACATACACTACCATTCTAAAATTTGGGGTCAGTATTATTTATTTAGTTTTTATTCATCAAGTAATCAGCTAATCAGCCAATCGAGAGACAGCCACTTGCTGTACGCAAATGGTCAAGTGTTCAAACCAAACTACAAAATGTGAACGAAATATGACATAAGAAGTGACTCTTACCATGGGATGATTTGACTGAGTATCTGCAGGCAGATTAATCCCTGTTAATCTGCAGAATAAGAGCGGAAACGCCAGACTGGTTCAAGCTGACGTTATAGTAAACGTACAACAGGTTTCAAACCCTGTAACTATGGACTTTGCGCCAGGATAATTGATTTATAGCTGCACGACTATTGCGAGTTATTTAGAGGTGTGCGTGCTTGAACTAGTACAAGACAGAGCAAAGTGTGTTTGTACTGTATAAGTTTTTACACCCACGGTTATAATAGCAAGAGACACAATATTTTGTGTCCTCCCTCATTAGTTTTATTATACAGCCAGTTAAGCTATTGGTAAAGGAAACCTTTCAACATCTAAATAGTGTCATTATTACTTAACACCACGTGTATATGATTAACTAGTTCGTAGACAAGAACTAATACTTCTCCAATACTATTTAGGGTCCAATTCTCACTATTAACTAGCTGCTTATTAGCATGCATATCACTAGGATATTGGCTGTTTATTAGTACTTATAAAGCACATATTAATGCCTTATTCTTAGTATTAGTATTCTAATTGACCATATTCTACATCCCTAATCCTACCAAAACCTAAACTTGAAACTCAAAAGTCATAGTCAATAGTTAGTTATTAGTGAGAATTGGACCCTAATCTAAAGTGAGACCATCATTTTACAATTTAAGGATTATCTTTTAAACATTTATTTTTAATTTCAATTTTACAGTTTATATTTCCTGAGATATATTGTTTATTTAATATATACACCCATAAAAAAAAGATTTATACATGGTAATACCATTGTATTGTATGGTAATACCATTAAAGCTGTTATTCTGATCACAAAACCTCAATGTCCCCATTCACAACTCATTTAAACTATTGGGGAAAACGAAACCCCTGATATTTCACTCATCACAATATAAATGCAAAGGCCAAAATGTTTTTCATTTCGTTTGTCAGAAGGTTTACCCATTAATATTACTATACATCAGGGGTCAGCTTACAACTTACAACTTAGCGTTTTGATGTAAATGGGCACTAAGTTACAAATAAGTTAGCACTACTAAGTATTTTTGCGTTACACCCTTAAACTTAGTTGAAGCATAACTCTACGTATAAACGAAATATTTACGGAATAAAATAGCAGACGGACTGAACTGCATAAATAAGCTCTTGTTTTACCCGACAGACTTTAAGTCTTCTTTAGACATATATGATAATGCTGACATTTACACTCACTTACATTTTAAAAGAGAGAACATTATGTGAAAAGATTACTTTGTTAGCGGCTCTTAAACACGTACCCTTTCCTAAACATCGAGCCACTATGTGCATCTGTCCCATCGCTCCGTGTTGTGCATGTCAAATAAAATCATAATCAATAAATGTCATTTCTAATGTTTTTTTGTATCAGTATAAAGTTTCTGAATGTTATTTATATAAAACATGCATTATGTTATTCATGATTAAGTATATCATACTTAATGAATTTCTAAACTTGTTTTACCTTTAGTAACGTGAGGCAAAAGAAGTTAGAATGAAGGATAAACTGAAATTCATGGCATTTCAACAACTACTGCTCACATATTTGAATGCTGCTATTAGAATATTGAGAGAGTAAACGTCATATCATGCGACTACACATTACTTTACGGAGAGTTTACGACCAACTAGTTACGTTCTGCCTTAAGAACAAACGGTGCGACCGAATAAAGCACAGAGTTAGTTACAAACTAGCTAGTAGTTACTAAGCCTCTAGAGTGGACTTAACGTTCCAATTTAAGAAAGAACTTACGAATGGCTGCTACAACCCTACCCTGGAGTTTGAGAACTAAATGTTGTCAAAATGTCACATAAAAGAGCACACGAAAAGTTAAACAGCTTAGCATTTATTCATTGTCATACAGTTCTGATGCATCAGTCACAGAGTCACATGTGTGTGTGTCTTAAAGCTCTAGTTCAATCTTCACGTCCATTTTACTTTTGTACGGCTCTAGAACAGTTCTGACCTCCTCAGACAAAAATCTTGTAACCTGAGAAAGAGAGGGAGCGATTGGAAGGGTATTACAGCCTACCTCATGATTAAAGCATTATGTTAATCATGTGATAAATATTAATAGGACAGCAGTAGATGAACATGTGTGTCTAGGCTGCATGCGTGTACCTGTTGCGGGGCTCGGCCGATGAAGGTTTTGGGATCCAGAACGCTGTCCAGCTGTCCGAGTATGGGGGTGAAATATGGATCAGCCTGAACCCGAGCCAGTAGGTCATTATCTCCCCCTTCCTGTTTGACCACGGCCGCAGCTTGCTGGGACAGCACACGGATCTTCTCATGGCAGTCCTGAGTGTGTTTTTTTAGTACAGATGTGTTAGTCAATGCTAGGCACTATAAACATCTGCTGTGCTCACAGAAACAATATTTACAGCAAGTCATTTATGCAAACATCTTGGGGTTGATTTGCCAAAGCAAATTTATTTACAAGACAAGATTTTTCTTCATTCATTCATTAACCGCTGATTGTTCTGACCTGTCTGTTTCCTCCGGCCTTCACCATGGCCATGATGATGTTTTCAGTAGCCATGAAGGGCAGCTCATGACGGATATGCCTCTCGATTACCTATAAAAGAGAAAGAGAGAATGATTAAAGGGGTCATGAACTGCATTGTTTTTTTTTATGTATAATCTTCTCTGAGATCCCCTCATAAGGTTATTAAGATTTTTATATTAAAAAAACATCATAATTGAGAAGTAATAGGTTATTTTCTTTCCTTTTTTTGACCCTCTCTTTGAAACATGCTGCCACATTCAAGACTTGGAAGTAAACGCCCACTATTATTGGGTAACATTTTTGTAACATTTTGCATATTAAAATATTTTTTCAATGTCCCCACCATTACATGCGTGCAACTGTTTTGAAAACTTCCGATGTTGAAAAAAGGCAACCAGTAGAATTCAGCCATACATGTTCGAGGCTTCGAGCCAGAGTCTACCCCTCAAAGACAGCGTGGCAATTAATTTATATTTGAAGAGTTTGGTTCCAAAACGCAATAAATCCATTTAGATTAATTTGAGTAAAAATGTGTTTTCTTTACCAAGAAAGTGGAAAGATGAAAACCACTATTTTCTGTTTCAGACTTTCATGTAGCATTTGTAGGTCATAATAACAAAAAAAAATTAAATCCAGGTTTTGATTTTCAAAAATGTATTATAAAAACGGATTCTTTTTTCCCCAAAATGCAATAAATCCATTTAAAAAAAAAAAATTCAAAATGCAATTAATCCATTGAATCAATATAAAAGTTTTTATTTTTCATATTGAAACTGTTGAAAATACACAACAACGTAAGTTTATTAGTATAATATTTTTAGTAAGTTTTCACAGACAAAAACACATACTTTCAAAGATTCACATATTATAGTAACAATTTTATATCACTTGTTTAGGCCTATACGATTTTTTTAAAGATTTTTATTCAACCCATAGCCCTGTTGAGCAAGGTCACCACAAGCTATTGATAGGTAAAGGAATAGCTATCAATAGCTCACAGTAACCTTGCTCAACAGGGCTATGGGTTGAATAATGCCAGAGTTATGCTTCAAGTTTTAAACAATGAATAAAAATCACATTCATTTTATACACTGAATTTGTTGTCTTGTACATACTATAAATCTATTGCATTAATATAAAATATGTGTAAAACCGTTCAAAATAGAACTGTAAAGAAGATTGAAAACATTTTTCCTCCTCCCGAGTGCCTCATCTTCTTAATCTCCTCACGTAAATGATTCGATTTCGATGCCTTACGTTTCTTACCCACCGCAGAAACAACCACAGGTTCATCAATGCCGTCAAAATTATTCATTTTTTTGTTTGTTTGTTGATCGAAAAGTACAAAATAGATAAGAAAAACTAGGAAGCCGGGTGTATTTAAGGCGCTGCCGTTACTGTTTACATTGCGTGGAATGGTGCGTTGTGATCGGTTGAGCGGATATATCGCATTCTGCCGAGAAGGGAGACTGGCGTTGGTCGCGGTTTGGAAAGAAAGGGAGAAAACATGACAGAATAACACGGCGGATATTGCATTTTACTTAAAATTAAACATTGACTTTTCAATACCAACCAGATACAATACTGATTTTTGCAGTAACTAATTTTTTTTTTAAATGCCGTTTATCGCGTTTTGGAACCAAACTCTTCATTTATTCCTTAAGTATTTGTGAGGTACTGAGCAGCTTGGTTTCAATAAAATCTGTTTTTGGACTAACAAGGAGGCTTTGAATTCTGAAACTTACAGGATTTTCTTTTAATAGTACAATGACCTCTTATAAGTCAAAAGATCAAGAAAATTGTATCTCTCAATTCATGACCCCTTTAAACCGTACAGCTGTAAATTTAATGTGATAATTATCTATAATAAACTGTCTAATGTAAATGTTTTGAATTATCTTCATTTGGGGCTTTACTCATCAAATATTGTTATATGGTTTAAATATCATTAATAATTGCACTGATATAGAAAATGTTTCTTGAGCAGAAAACCTGCATATTACAATGATTTCTGAAGGATCATGTGACTGAAGACGACTGGAGTAATGATTCTAAAATACAGATTTGGCATCACAGGAATAAATTTATTTTAAAATATTAAAAGTTGTTTTAAATTGTAATAATATTTCACAATGTTACTCTTTTAACTGTATTTTAGATTTGCTTTAGTGAACATAAAGGACTACTTTCAAAAACAAAAGGGCCTTTTGAACAGTAGTGTATATGCAATTATTTGTACTAAGTAATCAGCGTCTCATTTAGTTCATTTGATAAAACCTGATACTGATAATTGCCAGCCCTGATGAAAACTTTTTAAAATGTGTGTTGAAAAGAGACGACCCAGAAGTCAAAATGCATTGAGAGTTGCACACACACACCTTAGGATACACCACCAGCCCTTCAGTGATGTTCTGCAGAGTGCTGAGGATGATGTCAGCTGTGAGGAAGGACTCGGGCAATGAGATCCTCCTAAATAAGCACAAAATAAAATAAAATATTGAGACAGGATGTTGGTGAAAGAAAGAGCCTAAAGTTTCATCTTCACAAAGCCAAAATGGTGCAATGCCACATCATATGGTCAGACAACAGATGTCATAACAGTGCCTGTTAGCGCTGTCGTCCAGGGTTCTTTCCAGCCACTGCACTGATGCGGTCTGCAGAGGGTCTGACACCAGCGCCATCAGGTGGCGAGCAAGACTACAGCAGCGCTCAGCACGCATGGGGTTTCTCTTGTACGGCATAGCACTGGAACCTACAAACAGAGGAAACCATGACAGATCAGAAGTTGATTTAAAATGTGATCAAAATCCTGTCTCACATACAAACTCACCAATCTGCTCTTTCTCAAACGGCTCCTCGATCTCTTTCAGATTAGCCAACAGACGAATATCAGTGCAAATCTACAGCAAAAACAGGTTGTTCTAATCAAACAAATATTGTCTGTTGCTTTTGTGTGCTGACTAGTGTGGATTGTTAAAGCAGCTCATTTATAAGTTCATAAAGCTGATCTGATATTCATGTCTGACCTTGTGTACGGAGGCTCCGAGGCTGGCCAGCACACAGAGCGAGTCGACATCCACCTTACGACTGTACGTCTGACCAGTCACCAAGTATGATCTAGAGAAATAGACAAATCAATAACCATGTGCACACAAAAACATGCCCACTGTAAGTCTCTAGACAACAACACAATTAGAAGCAATTTGAAGCATTTATAAAACAACGAAAGCAGGAATTAAATAGGCTGAGCATACTTTTTAAATCCAGCCATCTCAGTGACCTTCCTATCCAACTCCTCCACCTAAGAGAGAAAACAGTCAAAAGTCAGTTCAACCATAGAATATACTAGAGCTGGGACGATACACCTATCTGATTTGATATCATCACGATTTTGGCCGTTCATTTACACGACAACGGCGTTTTGGGGGACTGAAAGCGTAAACTTTTCAAAAAAACAGGTTTCAAAGTGCAAGTTTTTGAAAACGATACCGTTATCGTCTCTATATAAACTACAAAAATGTGAATTTGTGAAAACGCTATTGTCATATGCATGCGTATTACGTGTTCAGACTTTGGGTGCTTAGTGTTTCTTTATGAAGCGACTTCGCCAACTACTGGCCTGGCATGAATAATACAACGTTTTTAGTCGTTTTCGCGGACCTGTGTGAACAGGGAGCGTTTTGACAACGTTGTCGTCTGTACGCGAAAAGCGCAAAGAAAAACGTTTCCGCTTTTAGTACATCTTTGTCGTGTAAACGTACCCTAAATGTATTCATTGCAACAAAGATAAAGCACTAAAATGTAAGTTTTTGGGTCAAATGTAAGGTCAGTAAGATTTTTTACATATTTATTAAAGTCTCTTACACTCACCAAGGCTGCATGTTTTTGTTAAAAATACAGTGAAAAAAAGTAATTAGGAAATATTATTGCAATTTACAAAAAACTCTTACTGTTCCATCTCTATACAGCACTCTGACTCTGTAGGCATTATTGTCCGACTCGAAATGAACACCGTTACTGAGAGTTTCTGATATTATCATCATTCCGTGAGATGAAATTGTCCTGAGAGGCTAGCTCATGAAGCTCCGCCCCCTGTGCCGGCAGCAGCAGCTTATTTGCATTTAAAGGGCACACACTAAAACAGCGCGTTTTTCTGAGCCCCAAAAAATCACAATTGAAACATGCTGTAAAAAATGATCTGTTGGGTATTTTGAGCTGAAACTTCACATACACATTCTGGGGACATCAGAGACTTATTTTACATCTTGTGAAAAGGGGCATAATACGGGACCTTTAATGTTGAAAACAGCTTCACTCTTAAATAGTGATTAATATTATAAACCTCCCTACATTTTATTCATGCTATTCATGAGTTAAAATAACATTTATTTATTTTGAAATTGATTTTTTTTTTTTTTATAATCCTGAAGTCTTTACTGTCACTTTTAATTAATTTCATGCATCCTTGCTGAATAAAAGTATATATTTATTTAAAAAAATTATAATAATTATAAAAATCGTACTGACCACAAACTTTTGAAAGGTAGTGTGTATAGTACGTATGCTGGAGACAAAGTCCACACTACTAGGTATAAAGTAACCTTGAGGCATACAAATCCGATTCAGCTGTTGATTTTCATGCAGCTGCATTCACCTTCTCATGATCCCCCTGGAAGAGCTGCAGGAAGCTGGCCTGAGTGCCTGTGGTTCCTTTGACGCCCCGGAAGCGCAGGTCCTCTCTTGCACGCTGAAGATTGCGCATGTCCATGACCAGATCCTGCAGCCACAGACACGCACGCTTCCCGACAGTAGTCAGCTGAGCTGGTCTGAGAAAAAGATGGGGACGAGGAGAGGGGAAATAAACCCAAAACCAGTCTAGTATTGTTGTGTTAAATGAAGAAAAGATGAAAGGAAGGAATATGAAAAATAAGAGATTTGAAGAAAATGAATAATGCAAAAAGAGTAAATGCTGAATAGATGTCAAAGATTCGATGGACAGATCATAAATGAATAGACGATGGGGAGGAAGAAAGGAAACCGGTAGAAACAATTAATTTTACATGCACACTTTAAACATGCTCTAACATCTAAATTCTTATTTGAGAGGTTTAGTACATCCACTAAACCCTGAATTTACTCACTGATAGTGGGTGAAGCCTAAAGTCGGCTGGTCGGCGTATTTCTCTGCAAAGTTAGCCAGCCTGTCTATGACACGAGCCAACTATAGAAGAGAGAATGTTTGAAAACAATAAACACTTTACTGCAGTGGATGGAAATTATGGAGGAATAGGTGTGCCAAATTTGTGGTCAAAGCTATTTTTTTTTTCACATTTAAAATTTGCATGATTAAGGTATTTTATTACTGCATTTACTTAACATTTTAAGCATTAAGTAAATAAACTATGTTTTAAACATACATTTATTTGCTAATTTGACAAGTGATTTATTATTTAATGTAACTACATTTCTTAAATTAATTAGACCATTTAACACTATTTATTTGTCAAAATAATTTAATACAGTACATTGATAATTGATTTCTTAATTTTATATTTAAATGGAACAAAGAACCTTAATAAGCATCAGTTGTCATAAGCTGGAAAATATCAGAAAGTCAAACCTTGGGTAGCAGAATATCAAATCCATCACGCAGCATTATCAGATCCTACAGATAAAGCATACACACATTTCAATAAGACCATTTTAAAATAATATACTGAGTTTAGAACATGCTTTTTCTTAGAAGGATTTTGCATGGTTTGCATGGATTTTGCATTGAGTCCAATTAATAGGAACAGATAGTGGTGTGATAATATTTTTGGCTCACCGTGTTGTCTCCCACATAACAGGAAGTGGCACCCAAGTGGATGATGGGAGCAGCAGTGGGACAGCAATGAGCGAACGTGTGCACATGAGCCATGACATCATGCCTCAACTTCCTCTCTTCCTCTGCAGCCATGACGAAATCAATGTCGTTCGCGTGAGACTCCATCTCGCTCACCTGGGCATCAGTTATGGGGAGACCCAACGCCTGCAGACAGAATATTAGAGCGATAAAGAAATGTATTAAAAATAGATTGCATTTTCACGCATTTAACATTCCCATTGTAATTCAAGCACCAAGTCGCAATATGTATGCATAAGCTTGTTAGTAGCTCACATTTGAGGTATGACTGTACTTTATGTTGTAGACAAAACAAGTATCATGAAAGTCACAAAACCGATTAGAACTTTTACAGGGCTTGAACATTTTTTTTTTATTATTATTCTGTGTTGCAGGACTACAACCTGAACAGCTCCATTCACAATAAAGCTTATTGTTTACAATGTTAAAGAAGCACAATATACCAAATATCATACTGGTTATCAGCCAATTTCAGAGATTTTGTTAAATTATATTATAATTTTTTAATATTAATTATTAATGCATTCCCATTTCTATTATCTTCATCATTTACCATATTTATCATATTTTTTGCAAATCTTACAATGAATATCCATTTTTTATATGGCTCATTTTAAATGTTGTCATATCTAACTTCACTTGTAGCATTTTAAAAGTTTATTCTATCTATTTATTTAATGCTTTAGTTAGTTTATTATACAATTATTATAAATATAAAGTATAAATTATTTGCTAATTACATCGGCCAGAATTGCAATATTGTTGCATCCTCATATCATTTTGCTGTAACACATTTTATCAGCATAATTTGTTTCATCATTAGCAATACACAGAGAGAGGGTAAAGGTCAACCCTCATAAGTCACTCTCCTGTTACCCTGACATTTACATTAGCTATTTTGGAAACACACACTTGTACAATCTTTCCCAGGGCTTCCTCTAGTACTGTGCGTCCCAAGGACTAGATTAGTAAAGTTCTGCAGCGTGACTTTACTTCCAGAGCAGCAAACAGAAACCTTTCTGTCTCATCATCGGGTCAGAGAATGACCGCCATGTGACCAGTGCTCATCGAACAGACTGCGGCATTTACTTGGAGATTTATGGGTCACTGGGTGGGCGATCATAACATCTTGGTTCTTGATTTCTATACACACTTCAAACAAACCACCAATATGCAAGCCTTTCCATGTCAGCTAAACCAGCAAAGTCCACCAGTCAACAGTCAATAATTTGATTTCTTATCAATTCCAACTATTGTTAATGTCAGCAAACTGAATATCTGTTATCTGAATTTGAGAGTTCTCTTCTAATTTGGTTCCTACACTATCATCTAAACTGCTGAGTTACAGTGAGCTTATGTTTTGAGAGATTCAGTGACCTTTAACCTGACATATAAGGAGCTAGACATGACAGTTATAAAACAGAGACATAAGTTTTATAGACTGCATACAAAAATACACTACTACATCAAATTACCATGGCACTACAATGGTTTTAGACACATAGTAATGTTTCGCTTTTTGGACTTTTACCAAAGTACCACCAAATACCATGGAACATAATTATAGTAGTGATTCAGTATCATGGTAAATGTCAAACTACCATGGTATTAATACAATCACCAACCATGCTATAACCACCACTTACAAGAAGTTCCTAGGTACACTTTTTGTTCTGTTCATGTACAATGATAATACTCTTGAAAATGCCTTATAGCAGGGTACACAAATTTCAGTACTGCGGTATATAATATTAATAATGTACAATGAAATTATTATTTAATTCCATCAGCATACCGTGGTAGGCTTCCACCACATTACTTCTTTGTATAGGCAAGTTTGTCAGCCTGGTCCACTTTTAAAAAATTAAATATTACAGCACAGCTCATGTCCAAACTTTCAAACTATTTTTAGACTAAGAGAGTTGGCAACTTGAGATCTCCACTCACTCACTCAAGGTCAAAAACTCAAGACAGGATCACATTCAGAGGATCACAATAACAACAAAATCATCAGTAGACGGTCTGTAGAAATACACGTAAGAGAAATATCCAGACCTTCTCGGCCTTAGCGAGATAAATCCACAGTTTTCTCCACGTGGTGAATTTCTTCCTGTCGCTGAAGTTATAGGCCATCTCTTTGCTGGCGTACCGCGACACCAGCGGTGAGCGGTATTTCATATACTCGTCCCCGGATCCGTCCATGGCAGTAGCGGATCAGTGAAGCGCCCAGTGCCGCTACCAAAGAATGTGTGAAGATGAACTCCTATGGTTGCAACCAGGTTGCAACTTGTGTCCAAGAGGAGACTTGCAGGGTTTACGACAGTTCTAATAGATCGACGGCACAGAGCATCACGACTTTGTTCTAGGCACAGTCATGGGCACAGCGGACTTTTGACGCCATCTAGTGTTTCTAGTTTAAGGTTTTTAATTCATTTGAAAAATTAATAAACAATATAATATTTATATTTTTTAAACTAAGACTGAAATAAATGCTATATGCGTATATATATTACCATAAAATATTTATGTTCAATATGTGTAATTAAAAATATCATCTCAAGCAAGGCTCTTTGAAAATGCTTTCTTTAATGAGACAGTATCCTACAGTAGTCCTTACTGGCCTATTGTCCTCTGAAGAGGACATTATATTTTAGTGAAGTTCTCTGACAACATATGTCATAGGTTTAAGTCTGGATGTCCTGTAAAGAGCACATTCAGGGTTTTTCAGACATTCCAAATGTTTGGAGGTTTCACCATGACAATTCCTTCTCCTTGGTCTCCATTGCCATCAGACTAATTTTCTAATTGTGTGTTGTAAATAAACATCTCAGGTGGATGTTTCAAATCAGAACATGACTTTTTGTTACGAAACAGCATCAATTTCATATCAGCATGTTTATCAGGCATTTTGGGGAGACACAGGGAGTACATAGGGAAAGAAATTACATCAATTTTCCTATAAACTCTCATTGTTACACATATTTTTTTATTATAATTTGCCCCAAGAACACATTAATATGCAAATAAGATGACACATTGAGTAGCCTATCTACCAGAGACTATAGCCATTTTACACATATATTGTATAAAGCAAAAAAAAGTATATCAAATTATTCTGTTCCATCTTTTATAGTTGAGAATCATCTTTACACAAAGTTTGATTTTTTAAAAATAGCCTAAAACCTAAAAATTGATTGGTGAATGGAAAAAAAGAACATTGTTTTTGCCTTTGTTTTTCATTGTTTTTCATTTCTTTTCTTTTTTTTTATTTCTTTATATATATATATATATATATATATATATATATATATATATATATATATATATATATATATATATATATATATATATATATATATATATATATATATATAACTAAGTCCTGGTGACATAGCACAAAATAAAAATAAACTATATTTTTTTTCTCCATTTGTTTTTTTTTACTCCAAACAATGCAGACATTTAAAAAAAAAATCACAAAACTTTTTTCCTGGTTCACAGGAGGACATTCATAAAGCAAGAGTTGCATTTACTATTTTTGTAAAACAGATTTTAAGATGAGTACTGAAACTTTGTCGAATATGAAACACCAAACCCTAGACTTTGGAACTTGTAAAGCTTTTCAAATTAATGTAATTTCCCTTAATAAATTAGTTTGTTTATTTATTTGTTCTGATTTTTACAATTATTTTATCATATAAATATTACTTTTCATACTCACTAGACTGCTGTATAATACAGTAGTGTTTGATGACACTTTATTCATAAGGAACAAAAACTGTCCAGTGTTTTCTTTACTCGCTCTAGTATTTCAATGCTGCTGAGTTTAGGTCATACTGCAGAATCAGGTGGGTGGTGCTAAACTGGTTACTTCCATCTTTTCATTGGTCTAATGACAGCCTATGCTCCACCCCCAAACCCAGCACTACACAATGAAAGAATAGCAAACCACTCCACACTTATTAAGAATTTTGGGAGGTTACTTACCGTATAATAAAAGTAAAACTCAGCCCACTAACTCTATACTAAAATGAATCACAAGTCACATATTTGTCTCACTCCCTCCCTACATCCTCTGCTCTCTATTAGCCTCTTTCTCCCAGCTCCTCCTACTTGTATCATTTCATGAGGGAAAGAAAGTAAAAAAAGAAGCAGAGAGAAAGGTTGTGAGGGTGTTTTAGAATCAGAAAATCACTGGGAGAGCGAGGGAAATAGAGTAGGAGGGGAGAACAATGTTTTAAGCACAGGCAACTGGCTGCTGAGACAAAACAGCAAGAGAGAGAGAGAGAGAGAGAGAGAGAGAGAGAGAGAGAGAGAGAGAGAGAGAGAGAGAGAGAGAGAGAGAGAGAGAGAGAGAGAGAGAGAGAGAGAGAGAGAGAGAGAGAGACAACGGACCAGCTAGACACAAGATGGCTACGGTCTCTTCTGATTTAAATGCTGGTAAGTGGCATTAAACTTTAACTTCATTCGTCTGTCAGACAATTTTCCACTTTCAAATCCCACCTACACAGGCAGCTGACTCACTTCCCCTCTGCATATTACGTGCGCTTCTTTTGTCTCTGGGGATTTCTAATGCAGACAGAAGAGTCTCAGCTGTTTCTAGATCAGTTTGTCATCATACAAAAGCAGATGCCCACACAAATGTCACTGAATCTGATCTTGGTTCAGCATTAGAATGATATCATAAGGCTAACGTTTTGGGTTATTTAGTAGAGGGATGGAGGGGAGCTGTTGAAACTGATGCAGCATTGCTGGACCTGGTATCATGTGCTGGACTGTACCAAAACAGGACACATTCAGGGGTTAAATTGGGATTTATTATGTGGGGGTGCTCTCCCTAGGGAAGTCGGGGGGTATGCCCTCCCACCCCCACCCCCGGGATTTTTTTTTTGAAAAATAAACCATTAAATGGCACTTTCTGGGGAGTTTTGTGCAAAGAAATGGGGAAATTGAGTCTTACATGATATGTGAAAAACTGCAAGGTTAAGAGCATATACTTTGCATTGTTGTAGTTTCAACAGGTATTAAGACATTTAGCATTTACATTATTGTTAATCAGTCATCAGTTGATTACACATTGTATTCCCTTGTTATGATATAGTGGTCCATACAATGTGCCAAACATAGAGATGACTCACATGGTCAACCTAGTCTTGGTTATTTAATTTTGATTTAGTCTTATTTTCCTTACCTTGTCATTCAAGGCCAGGGCACTTTTTGTACATTTCTGGAACTTTTGCACGCTTCCACAATAAACTACAGATCTCCCAGGAACATTCATTATATATTGCTGCGTACATTTATCCGTGTCACCTAGATGTGCATGCGCGAGCGGTGCAAGATCATGGTCGACTGACAACGAGATTAAGCAGCTGAACAAGAATACGTCCGTGTTCCGATTGTTCTCATCTCAGCTCCGCCGAGACAAAATAGACATGCCATTTCAAAAATCTTTCATTTATTGTCAGAAATATGTTTTCAAAAGCATCACTTTCATCAAATTTTATGTGACATAATTTCCAGTAAGCAACTGACTGCAAACAGGCACATCAGGACACAAACGAGCAGGCTTATGTGCCGGGGCTGAGCCCCGGAGAGCCCCGGCCCAATTTAACCACTGGATGTGGTAGCATTGACAGAAACCTTTCTTACCTGTCAAATGTACGCGTTTTAGGTTATTATTTTACAATCACAAGACTAGTTACGGTTCAGGTTATTTAGTGCAGGACTATGCACCAGTTTTCAATTTACTGTATATACTATGGCGGTCATCAGCAGGTTGCAATGATATAGTTGTAATGCTCTGGGGTTGCTCAGAATGTCAGTGTAAACAAATGGGAGTTGTGGATGTAGTCTGCATGCACTAAAATACCTGTTATTTTGATTGCAATTTAATTTTTCATCTCTTCGCTTTCATCTCTGTCTCTCAAAAGCAGAGGGACCCTCTCCACCCATGTGGCGCCTACTGTTGCTGGGGTTCCAGGGCTCTGGTAAGACCTCAACACTGAATACCATCTTGAGCCAGGATAAAAACCCATCTGACAATTGCCAAACAGACCAACAACATTGGGTAGACATACTCACCTGGCGACTGTTGATCATTGACACCCCAGGATGGAATCTGGAAACCGAAGACACAACTAATGAGACGGACTCAGAGAACCAGCAGTCCTTCATTGATCAATGTTCTCCTGGTCCCCATGCCCTGCTGCTGGTGGTTCCCATCGGAGTTCCATTCACCGAAAACCACTGGCAAGGTCTTTGGGCCCGAGTTAGAGAACTGGGAGCAGGAGTATGGAGGCACACCATGGTTTTGTTCACCTGTGCGGACCAGTTGCAGGACAAGGGTGTTGAGGAATTTATTGTGGATGGCGGGGCAGCGCTGCAAAGGTTGGTGGAGAGGTGTGGCTGCAGGTATCATGCCTTGGATAACACCTGCTCAGACAAAAGTGCTCAAGTTGCAGAGCTTTTACAAAAAGTCGAGGAAATGGTTCGGGAGAATCAAGGCTGGTTCTTTGAAATGGTGAGGCCAAGCCTTGGATTCGATGATGAAGAAAATGAAAGAGAAGAGGATGGAGTCCCAGAAGTGGAGAGGACAGCAGCAATGTTTAGATCTCCTCCAAGAGGTGAGTTTCGCATCTGATTCATTCTCCTGTACCTTTGTTTTGTTGGTACCTTTGCAGACTTTCTCCTCAGAACATGCAAAGTGCATTTTCATCATGTGAATTTCCTTTTGTTGGAATCTCCCACTTTCTTTTTAACAGAGTTACGGGTTCTGCTAGTAGGCTGGCGTGGAGCAGGTAAGAGCTCTGCAGGTAATCTTCTACTGGGCTGTCGTGTGTTTGAATCAGGACGCCCCACTGAGGTGTCTGTCCGTCATCAAGCATTGGTTGCTGGTCGGCGCCTCACAATTGTTGACACGCCAGGTTGGGATTGGTTCTCCGCCCAGCGCACACCGAGCAACATTCGAAAAGAAATTAAACAAGGGGCAGGGCTTCTCCATCCTGGCCCACATGCACTCTTACTGGTAATCCCTGTAGTCTCGACCCTCACACCCAAAAAGAGGCAGGCCCTCAAGAGCCAGTTGGAAATGTTTGGCGAGGAGGCGTGTCTTCACACACTGGTGCTGTTTTCATGTGGCGATTGGCTGTATGGCACATCCATTGAGGATCACATCCAGCGGGATGGAGGAGAGCTGCTGAAACTGATGCAGCATTGCTGGAACTGTTATCATGTGCTGGACTGTACCAAAGCCAACAACGACAGGACACAGGTGACTGAACTCTTGCAGAAAATAGAGGAAATGGTAGCAGAGAATGGACAGAAACCTTTCTTACCTGTCAAATGTAAGTAGTTTGCATCTTATATTATTATTATTGCTGGTTTTCACATCAGGTTAGGATATAATTTGTTCATATGAATATTTCTCATATGTAAAACCTGATCATTGCATCCTTGTTCTACAGTAAATCAAGAACTGGACGAGGAGGAAACGAGTGGAAGGTGCATTCTACAGTAAAATATAAGCCAACATAAAGTGCAACTCTGGTAAATCTAAGAGGAATGTAGAGGTTATTGACCTTTTTGATCCCAAAACAAGCGGTATTTATGCAACTGATTATTACCCATAAGGCCATTCACACTGTTTGTATGTCATCTTGATAGAATTAGACTTACAACCTACATTTCTGGTTTCTTGAGCAATGTTAAGATTTAGTCACATTTTCATAAAGTTTTAAATTAAGAACATTCACCTTTGCTAGAAGCACGTAGCACTTTCTGGTGACAAAATCTTTACATAAACTTGTTTTTTTCTAATCCTGTGAGCTAGAGACCACAAATAACCGTACTCAAATACTGATACTATCGCCAAAACCATGCAATAGTTTCAGAGTTGATTATTTTCAAGTGTTATAAAACGAATGGTGGTAACAAACAAACCAAATGACTATTCATTTCCACAGTGTAAAGCAGGAGTCATACCGAGTATTGTACAGTATTTACACAACCTCGTCGTTTTTCATGCACATTCAAACAGTGTCATATATTTAGTAAAACTGCATTTCACAAAGTTGGAATATTGCTTACATTTAGTTTGAATGCACTCACTATATTATCATAAAGTCTAAGTACATTGGGATTAAGTACACCTGGATTCTTGAATTTACAATTGTTCTACAGACTGTTCCATTGAGCACCTTAAGAACCTTGTGGGTTTTTTTTTATGAATTTGATATGTTTAGCAACTACTTAGGACTAGCTCACTGAGCCACATGGGCGGCAGTGGCTCAGTGATGGGCGGCAGTGGCTCAGTGGTTCATGTGGGTTGTCTACAAACCGGAAGGTTGGTGGTTCAATCCTCGGTTCCACCTGACCAAGTGTCGAGGTGTCTATGAGCAAGACACCTAACCCCGGCTGCTCCCGACGAGCTGGATGGCGCCTTGCATGGCTGCCGTCACCCGTCGGTGTATGAATGAGTGAGTGAATGGGTGAATGTGAGGCAAATTGTAAAGCGCTTTGGTGGCCATTGGGTCTGTGAAAGCGCTATATAAATGCAGTCCATTTACCATTTTACCATTTAGGACTTTGATGGCAGCATTACATTCTACCTAAATCCTAACCCAATCGTGGCGGAGACGTTCTGCTCAAGTTTGACTTTATTTGTATTTCTTTTGGGAAGACAGAACAGCAGTAGGCTCCAATAGGTTGGGCAGGTGTGTATTTGAAGTTGTTTGTTTTTTTGTTTTTGTTTTCTCCCTCTTGTGTTTCTCGTTGTGTAGCCGTCATGGCAGAGGACTTGCAACAAATGTCTTCCTCTTGTGTTTCTCGTTGTGTAGCCGTCATGGCAGAGGACCTGCAGCAAGTGCCTCACTCGTGTTTTTCGTTGTGTAGCCGTCATGGCAGAGGACTTTCCGTAAGTGCCTCACTCGTGTTTCTCATTGTGTAGCCGTCAGCAAGTGCCTCACTCGTGTTTCTCGTTGTGTAGCCATCATGGCAGAGGACTTTCAGCAAGTGCCTCACTCGTGTTTTTCATTGTGCAGCCGTTATGGCAAAGCACATTCCGCAAGTGTCTCACTCGTGTTTCTCGTTGCGTAGCCGTCATAGCAGAGGACCTGCAGCAAGTGTCTCACTCATGTTTCTAGTTGCGTAGCCGTCATGGCAGAGGACTCGCAACAATTGTTGGAGCTGGTAGCCCGGTTGGAGGCAGATACTGCATGCCTGCGTCAAGCACCAGCCGTAGGGCCTACAAGTATTAATGCTCCGGCCCTCAGTATTCTCTATTAGCTTCCCTACCACTGAGAGGGTGGTGTACGTCCCTATAGGGAAAAGGGTGTTAGAAAATGGGCGATTATGCCAGAATGTAATGGGGGAGGAATGTAATGAATTCCTGGATGATTGTGCCTAACACCACTCTATTTGTTTAGACCCTGGAGCTGAGATCCATCGGCTAGTGGTCCATCGTCGGGACGACGATGCAAATGGGTGGGGTGGATTGTAGCAGATTGGGGATTTTCCTCCATTACTCCCCCTGGTGGAGAATGGGAATAATTTCCCCATGGATTCAGCTGTGTCAGATACCGGCTGGTTAATCATTATCATGATTGCACATAATAAAAGCAAGGCGCACGGGAAGCTGAGCTTGTGTTTAGCCATGTCTGGGTTTCCATTTTCTTCCTTTCCCTGATGGAGTCGTGTAGTTTGGGTTACTTATTTCTCCAATCTCTGTTGTTGCAGTGCAGTGAGAGCATGTGGCAGCACGCAGTGGTTTTATATACGTTGTTCTGATGCAGATGGGGGTCGTGTCTAACGGCATGCTTCCAGCTCGGAGCTGTGTAATCAGCAGGACGCAGCAGGACGCACGGACCCAGACTACGCTGCTGTTTTGTCTTTATTGTAAATGTATTGCTGCTTTTGTCTTCTGTATAAATATGCTGTGTGTTGTGAGTATTCATTTAGGGAACCTGTAATTTAAGTGCTGTGGGTTCCCTCTGAGACATTTGTGAAAGGCTATTTGGCCCACCCGCTTTTGGGATGTGGTGTTCAACACACTTGAGTGTGGATTTGCTTCATTGCATTTGTAGTGAGGGTCACTAGCGTGTGGGTGCAGTCTAATGAGTGATTACTTAAAAGGTGGGTCAGGGATTTCTTTTCCTGTTAGTGTCTTTGATTAACCCCCAGTATTTATCTTTTTTTTTTTTTTTTTAATACCTTTTCTGTATTAACATCTGTGGGTAATTAAGAGGTAAATGTCTGAAAGGTATTTATTAGTGAATGTGTTGTTTCTCAATGTGAAAAGATTTTACGTAATAAATTGCTTTTAATTGTCAGAACCGTCTCAGTCCTCCTTGGGAAGAATGAACCTGTGTTGTCTGAGTATTACATATCCTTGGGTGAAAGTCCTGAGGTGGCGTAGTTGGCTACATTGTAAATCGTATTAAGAGTTTTATTAATGTGAACTCCCGGGTTGCTCATCTTAGTTAGCATTTCTCTCTCCTTGCCCCGTAACCCCTCGTCACTTAAACATATTTACCAATGTTTTGAGCATTCAGGGAATGGCTGTTACTATTGCATAGTAATATTTATCTTGTCCACAATAATTTGGCGCAATATGAGAATATACTACGAAATCCCAACAGCATAGGCAATCATATCAGCCCCAAATGTGACTTTCAGCTGGTTTGACTGAATACACTGAGATGACTAAAGAGTTTAGCTTTTGTATGCTTTTCACGTCATATTTTCATACCAATAAAGAATAATTTTGCATATCAAGGGGTGTTTTTATCAAATTCAGCTTCGAGGTTGAATTTCCTTGATCTCGATTTGTGAAATCCTAGAGAACATAAAGGCGAGAACCACACTTAATTTTCTGCCAGCCATACAGTTCTCCTTGGTCATAAACAGTGGGGTTATGCTGTTCGTGGAAATTGTTTTTGACTAAACAGGCTAAATATATTTTTATACATTGATCAAAAACAAATAAACAATTTTATAAAATATTAAAACTCATTTCTGTGTCCATTTCATAATAAAAAGATTAAATGCACAAAAAAACATTTTTAAATGTTTATTACATAAATAACATTCAAGGTAATTGATATGCAGTGAAAGGCCCATACAACCACAAAATGTTGAGTTCTACACAATTTAATAAAAGCACACATACCATCTCTATGAAAAAAGAAAGTTGAAATTTTAAGCATTTGTACAGCATAATTTCAATTGGGAAAATTCAAAACAAAGATCAACAACAGACAATGCACATTATATATAATACTGTGCATACAATAGATACACAAGACTAAAAAAAATGCACTGGTAAAAGAAAATCAGTTTTTGCTGACATGTTTACAGGAAGCGTTTCTACTCAGACAATGGTAAAAAAAAAAAAAAAAAAGGAATTTATTCCACCCTTCATAAAATACTTTCATGACCAACATCCCTAATGTTCTGCACTTCAGGCTATGCTGAAACCGTCCATTTCTATCAGCTTCAAGCCTCTGTGTCCATTTCTTTCTATGACCTCACACTTCTGCTCTCTCTTGCCCTCTTGACTTCTTCCATTAGCTCTTTCAAGTACTGGATCTCTTTAGCTATGGACTCTGCCTTTTCTGCCAGCTCTTGATTCCTCTCCTCTAGGACTGTACACTCTGACTGGAGAGTATCTTGCTCTGCACGCTTTTTCTGTCGGTAGCGGGTTGCCGCAGTCTTATTCTGCTCCATTTTCTTCAGCTTTTTCTTTTCAACCACAACCTTTGAGCCACTGGCTGACTTCACTCTTCCTGAAAGGGTAGGCAACTCTGACTGCTGATTTTGGGTGGGCTTAGAATCGGGTGTGGAGTAGGGCTTCACCCTAGAAGAGCGAGACTGGGGAGACGTTGGGATTTGTGGGTCGGGGGAAGTTGGACTCAGGGAATTTTCCACAACCATCTCACCTGGAAGGGTAATCATCGCATTAACCTCCTCTTTGGGAGAAAGTACAAGAACAATGCGGGTTGGGGTGAGTGACAGGACTATTTTGGGCACCTGCATCTCGATGGGGGGTGGACTCTGAACTTCAGCTATGTCTACCTCGCAACCAAGCTCAAGAGTATCAGTAGGGGACTCGGGTGGAAGGATGGAAGGTGATGGGACCGGGGAGGCCGGTTCAGACTTTATCTCAAACTCAGCCTGGGGCTCAGGGACCACAGAGGAGGAATCTGAAATTTCACAGGGTGATGGAATGAAAGGAGTAGCAACTGGAGTATTCAAAGTGAAGGAAAAGTTGGAAAGTTGATCGATTTCAGGGACAGACGCTGCTGGAGAGGGTGAAGGCGTATTGTCAGAAGCTACAGGCTGGGACTCCAGGTCTATCTGTGACTCTAGAGAAGTGATGAGCTCCTCAGGAGAACTAGGTGGATCCTCAGAATCATAGGAGCCAATCAAAGACTCCAGATCAAACTCACTCAAATCAATTCGCTCTGTCATCCAATCCATTTCACTGAATGAATGATCTGAAATGGGGGAGGGGGGAAACATGTTAGATATTTTTATTGAATGTTTAATATATTAGTATGCTGAAACTAGGGCACTTGTAGGTATATTTGAAATAATTTGCTACACCTCACCATTGCCATGATTATCTAGGCACAGCTCATCTGAGGGGAACCAGGCCAGAGACAGCTGATTGAGCCCAGCCTTCTCCCCCCTCTGAATGGAGGGAGGAGTGCAGGGTGGGGAGAGAGAGGGAAGTGGAGAGGAAGAGAAAGATGAGAGGGGCGATTCAGCGCCTCCGAGAGGAAGAACCTCCTCATCTTTATCTAGGAAAGACCCCAGAGGGTCAGCCATCGGTGATGATGGGTCCCAAAGAAGGACCTCCATATCGTCCTGGCCAAACTGTGAGCTCATCAAAGACATGGCTATCTATTTCAAGTTGAATCAACGAGTCTTCTACTGAGAATTCGAATAGTCTCGTGCTGTCAGGTGCAGCAGAAGTCAGAGTTGCCACGAAGGACCTGCAAACAGATATTACAAGTAGTTAATCAGTTGTACAACAATTTTATAAATGTAAACAAATACAAAAGCTACTTTGCAAGAAAAAAAATAAAGCCTCAGTTATTCCTGACTAACAATGACATCATCTGCCCACAACCTACCCATATATGGACATTACCACGTGATGTTCTTTATCCCTTACTGTCAGCAGACTGGGTTCCATTTTTTAAATCTCAACACTAATTTAACAGAGGCCAAATCTCATGACTTTTTTATAAGATCTTAACATTCTTAAAAGCGTAAACTGTTTGAGGTAAAAGGTACGCCGATGTTCTATTGTTTTATCAAGGTGGATAAAGACTCCGCCATTTCAGGGACCTGCCGCTCCCTTTACAGGAACGTAACTTACGCCATTTTACAAAGAGCACGCGGTGACAAAGAAACGTCGATTAAACTCTCTCGCTCATGCTTATTTTAAAGTAAACACATTCAGGAGTGTTGGAGATAAATTCACTATACAAAATAAAAACATTATGGTAAATTTTTAAACAGAAATGACTACAAATTCATCGACCGATGTTGTCACTGTCGTGTAACGTTAGACATATGGTGCTTAAAGCGCGAGACGCAGGTCATGACAATATTCGCAAACAATTTCCATAATCTATTAAAATGAATACATCCACAATATATATTTAAGTCGAATACGAAATAACCTAAAACCATGAATGGTCATAAGGCTAAGCTATTTAACGTTACACACCCGCCCAATCGGATGGGTGAGACGATCGTGACATTTTAAGACAAAAACAATTAAACGTATACTTACGCCATTTTTATATAAATGTATGGAGCCAGTGCACAATGTTGATGCACTGAGGAGTTTGAGCGCTGTCTACAGGCAGCAGGTCACACGGCCATTTCGGCGGAGAGCAGAATCGCTCGGGTATCAATAATATTCAGCTGTGAGAAGAACGGAACTGCAGGTGATGATGACGTCGAGTTGATGTTTATATAGTGCCGCAGTGCCGCTCAGACATATCCTTCCGCCAGAGAGTTTTGTTTTGTGTTACTGGGCGCAGACAACATATAGATCCATCACTTTTAGTCAATTTGGATCATTATGCGTAGGAAAAGTAATGAATTCAAAAATATTTTTAGATCTCCTAGTTATTATATTCATAATATTTACACCTAAATATTTTAAGATCATCACTTTTTGTTAATGTCAAATGAGGGAAACGTATGGTATTGGGCTAAGAAACATCATTGTAAAGAATAATCAGAGTCCGACTGATGATATCAACATTATATTTGTCTGTCTGCCGATAGATTGACAAACAAATGTGTCATTGTCACACAAACAAATGTGTCATTGTTACAAAGTCAACCAAAACAAACATTTCAGGGAAGATTACATTCTCCGCATACGTGTTGGATGATGATCTGTCGCCCTCTGCTGGACGAAAACTAAACAACTGGGCGAGTCTTGCCTCGGTTGTTTTTACGGCAATTATTGTTATGGAAAAAAAAGACAATGGAAAGAAAAGGCCGTTGCTCTTGCTGATGGCAAACCTAAATAAAGAGACGAAATAGGTTGTAGTAAACAGGCAGGGCAAGTTATAATTTGTTTACTGGTTCTATTTCAAACACATTTTTTTTAGAGAAATGAAACAGAAATTTACACAACAAAATACTCACATCTTGAATGCATTATTTTATTATCTACAGGGGTTTATTAAACACAACACTTAATTATTATTATTATTTTTACAAAATCCCAGCCAAGCAAACTAGGCATTGTGCAAATATATGACAATTTCTTTTAACATAAAAACACAGTATTTAGGCTAAAATTTAAAACCCCACCATGTTCAAATTGAATTTAAAAAATCACATATCATAAATAACCCTGACACATCAACATAAAATAGTGTATTATTGCAACGGCCACATGTATTCAAAAAATATATTTTGGTCTAGTTGGTGGTTCAGAGGCCATAACATAAATAATAACAATCTATTTTATATAATTAGCTACAATTTAAATTTGTAGGCTAAATAAAAGTCATATAATCCTTTAAAACAGTAGCGTATTGTTGCTGATAATATTCCTTAAATCGTTTGAAACAAATGCTGTAGATACAATTATAGTTTTCAGCATATAAAATATAATGAGCAAACAAAAACCACTATCATTACTGATATCTTGTGCTGATATATGATTGATTTGATTCCCTCTCAGTGTAGGCTCTTACTGTACTTCTCTTTTCTAAACATTTGCTAAATGTCAGCCTTTCATCAGACGACCACAATGGAGTCCATGCCTTGTGTATCTGTGAAGAAACCTGATCTTTGGGTTTATGCCTGTCTTTGTTCCCAAACATTAGTATAGATCAGTAACTATTCATTCAGAGATCCTTTTCTTGCTTCAGGCTCAGCCTCAGGTGATTGTGAACAGCAGAGGACATCAGAGTGCTGCATAGACCAATGCCCTCTTGAGCTGTTTTACACACACACACACACATGCTAGTGTGTTTACACAGTGACTCTATTTTCCAGTTGTATTATTCTCGCTAGTTTCTCCCTCAGGGAACAGGTCAGGGTTTTCTGCTAGCGTAGAGCGGATTCTCTTCTTCTCTTTAAAGCGGCCCGAATGTGAGACCTTCACATGGCGTCCCTTTGTCGCCGTTTTGTCCACGATGCGCTCCAAGCGGGCGTTAAACTGGCTGTCCGCAGCTGCGTCGGGTGTCCCGGGTGTCTCCCCGGCGTTGCTGCTGTGGTCTCCAGGGATTTCGTACAGCACTTTCGGCTCTGATTTCTTCTTACGCAAGAAGGTCAGTTTCCACCAGGCCGGTGCAGGTTCTGCGGTCGCCATCAAGATGAAAACTGCAAGGAGGACAGAGAGATTTCTATACATTAAAGTGTTATTTTTATGATTAAGACCAAAGAGTATGCCTAAATGAGCAAATTAACTATAATCAGTTTTTTTTTTTTGTTTAAACACAAAATTTAAGAATAGTCATAATGTGTAAGCTGAGGCCTGAGGGTGTGAGCTAATACTAATGTAAGATCTGTGTCTTGCATTAGAAGGGGCAGCCGCAAATGAATTTTTTAGTGTAATTCAATAAGCACCATATGGCAGAGGTATGATAGGGTTTTAACCTGAGGAGTTCTGGTTACAGGCCTCAAATTTCACTCACTCTGCACTTCAGCTATATGCTAGGAGGATGGAAATGCTATAGACCATGCTAATGCTAAATGACAGAGCACTTGCTTATGGTGCAATTCAAGTCCTCTTGGGAAGTCGTGTTTACGATGGCAGGTTTACGAAGTCACTTTCGTCGGAGAAAGATGGCGGTGTGCCTTCTCTTAGTTAGCCTAACTACACAAAAATACAGCAAGGTTTTTAAACTCTACTTCTAAAATGAAGACCAAAGAATGTCCATCAGGTGTGTTTAGCTTTTTTATATTTATAATTAATTTATGAAGCCACTGTGAACTTTATCATTACCTATTATTTTGTTATTTTACAATGCTACCAAATTGTGTGCAGGCAGTCAGCTAATTTTGTTGTAAACAAGCCTGACAATGTCACTGCTAAATATCTATAAGTATTGTGGTATTCCGCCATGTTTCTCACTGAGACGCCCCAAACTGGTAAATTCCCACTCATACGATATTGTGGTGGCGTCCATGTCCGTTCAACTCGTAAATACGATCTTTCTGACATGACTTGAACACAATTATTGTGCGTTCACGTGCTATGGAAAATATGATATTTTCCACTTGTGAACTGGTATTTACCAGTGTGTTGCGTTCAAGTGCTTCTGTTGTCGTAATGTGGTAAAAAGATGGAGATCCAGACCTGTTATTAAGCTAAAACTATTTTAGATTGCTTAAGTCATCTGCTACAGCAAGAAAATTATTTATCAAAAGTCAAACGGTAAATAATATGCTGTATATTTTCTAGATCATGAATAGAATCTGAATAGTACCATTCACGACTCTCACGTTGCTCTCCGCCATTTTGAAAAGGTCAAAGGTTATCTCATCTCGGCAACTCGTGCATCAAAATATTCTACGAGCTGCCCAGTGGAAAATACCACATGAGGGGGTGTTCATGTGCATTTTCCACGTCGGCTTTTGGTATTTACCATAATTACCATAGCACGTGAACGCACCATTAGTAGCCTCCAGCTTATTTGATCTTTTTGAATGAATAAAATTGACGATATAGGCTACGTTTCAAAAGTTTGTGGCCTATACAGTTTTTTTTAATGTTCACTCAAAAATACAGTCAAAATTGTAATATTGTGAAATATCATGACAATTTAAAATAATTGATTTCTCTATTAGTGTCACATGATCCTTCAGAAATCATTGTAAGATGCTGATTTGGTGCTGAAGAAACATGTTTTATTATTATCAATGTTGAAAACAGTTGTGCTGCTTAATGTTTTGGGAAACCGTGATACATTTTTCAGGATTTTTTTGATGACTATTAAGAACAGCATTTATTTGAAACAGAACTCTTTTGTGACATCATAAATGTTTTTACTGTCACATCTGATCAATTTATTGGGTCCTTGCTGAATAAAAATATTAATTTCTTTAAAAAAAGATAGAGAGAGAAATCTTACTGGCCCCAAACTTTTGAATGGTAAATTTGTACTTCAATAAAACTGTAAAGGTTGATTGTGGTGATTCACTTTGAAATTATTAACACTGTTATCTTAACTCGACTAAACATTTTGTTAAATGGACCTAATAATATTTAATAAACAAGAGGATGCTAATTGTTTAGAAATGTGTAACTGTCTCCATTCAGGCCATACGTGAGCACACTCATTATCATCTGACCTCATGAGACTTCACTTCTTAGGTCTGACTGATGGTTTCATTTTAGCCATAATATTCAGTGTGTTGTAGATTTGACATGATTAATTCATTAATTTACGTGATTTTACACAGTCCATTGTCGTGTTAAGAGCTCACTCAAGAGACAGTTTATGGTTCATGCACATGCCAGAATGGCTTCTTTGAAGTAAACCATTACAATAAAAGCAAGCACGCCTTTGACATACACGGTGAAACACTGTCCAAATGAAACTTCGTATGATATTGTGAGGTTTACCGCACGCTTAATCACACAAAGACAACGATAAACAAACACTTTTAGCTGCATATCCTGGAAAAGTTTATTGCTTTACTGTCCATGGTCATATCTTGAACTGAATCAGCCTTCTGTGAAATGTAAAAATGAACTCAACCACACTCAAATTCACACAAAACTGCTGTAGCATGTGACAATATCCATTCTCGGGAAAGGCTTGGCTCTGTTGCTTAGCAACAAAGTGGTCATTTTCATACAGTATGCTAATTTCTGTTCGCTCTCTCAGGGCTTTGACTCTTGCTCCTGCTTTTATGTTTACGAGAGCAAACAGAGATCAGGTGGTGCCGGCCAGCTCCCTTTCAACCTTACAGCCTTGTTTTTCTGGCGCTTTTAACCTTATAAAACGTTAAAAGAGGCCATTTAATCCAGATGGTTTTAACAATAAGCCATATTGCATTAGCTCTATATTTGAAAAGCTATAAGTATGCATTTGATAAAAAATTTTTTGATTTGGTTGTTCAAAAAGTGATGCCACCTCTTAATAAACTACACAAAGCCTTGAGTTTTACTGCACATTTATCACTTGCAGTTATGTCGAATAAGTTTAAAGCGCAAAAATACAAACATGGATTTTGAAATGTTCTGTATCAATGCACCCTCAGTTTTACCGTGGGAAATAATATGGTTTAGTCAGGATTTGGATAAGGAAGGTTTGTCTTTGCACGCAAAGAGAACTTCTACGCAAAGCACATGCACACTCCAAGTTGTTAGCATTTGGTTTTCATATGAAAATAAAAATAATGATAAGGTTCAAGGAAATCATTAATCAGAGGGAAAAGCAAGTGCTTTCCGGGAACATGACAATGGAGCAGGAACTTTCTGTGAGCTGATAATTCAAGGATTTGATAAGATTTACATATCACGATAATGTAGAAAACCAATGGCTTTGGTGTGGCAAAATCTAACTTCTGATTTGTCTTGTTACACAAACTACGGACAGCTTGTAAATTTCTTAAGTATTTAAAAAAAATTCAGCCAGCAATAATAACGACACAAAGTACATTTAGTTTCAACAGAAGCTCCCATGAGAAGTAGCCGTCTCTGTAGTCATCCTGATTAATTAATTATTCCTGTCGGTGGTTGGAAAAAACATCAGGTGTTAACTTGAAGTCTTTGGAGAGCTTCGCTCTGGGAACAGTCACACTCTGAGGGAGTTAAAGTGAGTAAAAGTATAGTGCAAATGACAGGAACTGAGGTGCAGAAGTATTCTTGTGCTTGACCAATCTTACAGGCCCAAAATGTGCAAAAAGGTTTATTTTTATGTCGTTTGACTCGTTTTACTCTCACACCTTTTAAAAATAAATCCCTATTTTTAAAGGGCGTGCGAGTAAAATAAACTCTTAAAAGTAAAGGTTCTTTACTGGCATCGATGGTTCCATGAAGAACCTTTAACATCCATGGGAAATATCCATTGTTCAAGATCTCGATTCAGATGTCTCTTCTTCTTCTTCTTCTTCTTCAAAATAAAAATAAAAACCCACTCAAATAAGACAATTTTTGACCTAAAGTAAGAGTATATTGAATGTGTATAGTGCAGATCATTTAGTTTTGATAAAATTGGATGAGGAATGTTTGAGCTCATATTGAGATCTCTGACTTTTAAATTGCAGACTTTGGACAAAGCAAATCTGAGCATATTAAGACATAGTTGAACATGAGATCTCGTCTTAAACCCTTGGTATTCTTCTATGAATACCACTAATTACAGAGAGACTCACTTTAAAGCGCCATGAGGTTTAAAAAGCGAGGCTGTCAGGGATAGACTTACAGTGTTTTCAATGGCATTCGCTGTAAAAATCTGTATAAAGCTCCTAGATCACTTTACACAGCTTATATTGTGTTTTTTGTCTATAATGAATTTTTTTTGGAAAGATATTTTTGCCGTGTTTCGTCAGCAGAAAAATTTTAAAACACATCAAATAACAGTACATCCACTGAAGAGATGCTTGTCTATCACTCACAGCCTCACTTTCATTCCTGCTAAAAATCAATGTTTGTGGATTGTTTAGTTTTAATTCAAGTAGTTCAGGAAGTCAGAACTTTCTTGGCTTGAACTTCCTTCCCAATGCAATGTTTTTGTCAGGCTTAGGTTTTCAAAATCCGTTCAGAGACGATCATCTTGGCCGCTAAATTTGTACTATTGACAACTGAAAGAAATATTTTGCATTTCAAAGTGTTTACTTGATTGCAATAATCCCCCCCCCCCCCCCCATACACACACACACACACACACACACACACACACGCACACACTCATCTCAGGCTCCTCATTATGCACGGTTAGTCAGTGATAAAGGTTCACTGTTTGCTATGAATGTGTAATCATGTGTCTGTCCAAAGGTTGTTAAAATTCACAGCTATCATTCCCTTTTTTTCTCTAGAACTTAATATCAATTCCCAATTGATCAGCTTTTTTTTTTTCTAGAACTCAGTATTAATTTCCATTTGATTGTACCTTTAGCAAGAAACACAGTAACTTATCAATATGAAACGAATTGCAACTGATGATATTCCATGGAGTTTAAAGAGTTTTTCCCCTCAGTGAATTCTGGCTATAATGAGACTCTCTCACCTGCGCAGTCCGTTGAGATACTTGTTATCTGCTTTAGAGGGGTCACTATCCTTTGGTTCGGTTGAGTCCAGCAGGTGAGGTCATCGCCCTATAGGACCCAGCTTTTAATTATAGTTTCTGTCTCTTCTCTTCTGCCTCCTCTTCAGCTTGGCTGTCCCTCTCGCTCTCTCTGGCA